CCGAGCACGTTACCCTGAACATCTTTAAACTGTTGTAGTAGGTCAGATATAAATAGGATAAACAGCGCGGGTGATAGGGTAGATCCTTGCGGGATTTTATTATAGTTAGTACTTGTGATAAGCAGTAATTAAGGAAACTTGATTTTGGTAGATTTTGGTAGATTTTGGTGGTTTTGGTGGTTTTGGATTGCAAGAGTCGTTACCGAAATTTGGCAGTCTGGTTTTTTTTTGCGAGTTGCACGCCAAGCATTGTAACAATATATGCAACCGCCTGATCTGGGTCATCGATTGGCTGGCCAATTCCCCAGACATCAACCCCATCGAGCGCATATGGCATCTGTTGAAAACCAAGGTCCTAGAGCTCCACCCTGAATTGAAGACGATGGGCGCCTCGGAGGAGGCACGAGAGCCCATGAATGCGGCGTTAAAGGAGGCGTGGTGGGCGATCCCTCAGGAGACGATCCGAGAACTAATCGACTCAATTCCACGACGTCTACTACGGGCAGTAATCAAAGCAAAAGGGTGGCATACGAAATATTAGATATTTTCTAATTAAGAAATCAAAAAGTAGACTGGATTTGCATTTGCATGTGTTTTGCAGCGTATCTCAAGATACGGTGCATGGCTATCAGATTTGGTGACTTTCGGGGGTGTGCCCAGAGACATGTCTACTTAGTTGTAATTAGTGAAAAATGCCCTACCAGCTGCTAACAACAAGAAGCGGGAAAACATAGAGCGCGTCATGATACCCCACAGGAGACCGTGCGGTATCCATCGCTGTGGCCAGCCGTTCAGGTAATATCAGACCTTCTGGAGGGCGCTCGCAATGATCTAGGATAGCATTCTCAGAGTGTTTCTCGGAGCACCTGGGAGCCTCTTGGTATGCCCGTATGGTATGGTGCGGAGACTATTGAGTCTACAGGTCGTTTATCTGTCAGGAAAGGCCGCTAGGAAATGGCGAGGGAAGGGGTCGGGTGATGAACACGTTAAAAAAGACGGGAAGGTAAAGGAGAGGGAGAGGAGAAGTAATGCGCCGTCTAGGAACGATATGAGGCTTTCCCAAGACCCATCACGATGTATCCAGTATTCATGCCACAGGTAGACTAGCAAGTCCTCCACAGACAGGCATACATCCTCAGCATGAAATCAGCTCTCCGATGAAACGGCATCACTCTTCCGCTCGTGCTTTCAGTTTCTAGAGAACAACTCTTGCAGTTCCTGATCATACTTCATCTTATCTGCAATTTTCCCATCGAGGATCGTTTCCGAGTTCTGCGACCAGAATCAGGAAACGACTGTATCCATTTCCTTGGTCAGCGGGAAGGGATGGTATTTCCTGCAAACGTATTGATCAAAGAGGATGCACATCCCATTCACAGACGTCAACGACAGACAATACCAAACCCAACCCTTCTCCCACACTGACTGCGTGACCTGGGCAAGTGACAAGCCATATTGTAACTTCGGCGAGAGCGCTTCCTCTTTGCCCTCAAAGATCCGCATGTACTCGTCCCGTACTATGACGTATTCTTCTAGATTCGCGCCGATGATATCGTCGAGGTCGTGCCCCCATAAACAGTACAGAGCGCCGCGCATCTCAATAGGGAGGGAGCACACCCATTTCAGGCCGATGAGATATTTGATGTTCCAGTCCTCGTCGACGAACAAGTTACTTTGGTGCAGATCGGTCAGACCTAGTACAAATGGCCGTTTCGGAGCTCCGAGCAAATAATGATGCCCAGTTGCTCGTAGCATTGTCTTTGAGACTATCAGTTCCCGGCCACCATCCCCATTATTGACCGCGTTCGGCTGATGGAGAAAGCGTAAATCATGGTAGGTCAAGAGGTCCGAGATGTAGGACTCAGATGTGGTGTACGTTTGGTCTCTGTCCATTGCTCTGGGTACACCGTCGTTTTCTAAGATCACGATATAGCAAGAAAAAGGCCGGTTTGTAAGGGAGAGGGGCCCGTCGTCGTGAAATGTAAAGGATTCTATCCGCGGCAACGGGACACGAGCCAGGGTCAAAATAGCCTGTGCAAGGCCTTTATACAGGAATTCCTCCACACTGGATCGCCTAGGTGCCGGTTCCAAGAATTTGACAACATGGTTTCAGCATCTGGGCCGATATAGTCCAAGAGAATATATCTCGCCTTCAAAAGATGTGGGCTGGGGTATCGCGTATATTGAGATCGGACGGGATAGTTGAAAAGGCAGCAAAAGTAACATCAAATTGCGCGCCAAAGTCGTAACTTGTATCTGCACCGGCCCGCTTCCGCGGGTGCTAAAATTGATGCTAAGTCACAGGCTTAGCCCATTCAGGCCGCCTCAAATACCCCAGAGACTGCCACAAGCGGTCAAAAACAAAGTTTAATTTTGCGCTAACTCGAAGCAGACCTGCTGTGCCGCCCTCGCTTCTCATACCCTGAAATGACCGTACCAAATACTTGATAGGAATCAGATAGAATATAAAGTCTGGCTCATCTAAGTTTCCGGTTTGTTTTTTCAGTCGTCACGTCTCTGTCTCTATCTCAACTTCCTCCGCAAGAGTAGTTTTTGACTTTTATCCACGGTTACGTTCCTAAACTTACTTTCAAACAAGATGATGAGCTATCCGCTTCTTGAGGAGATTAAGTTGCTGTTGCTTACTAAGCAGGACGATATCTTCAATATCGCGGATAAATTCTGCTTCGGCTATGCTAAGAGCACTCAGGAACAATGCAAGCACTTGGTCGTCTCAGAGCGGGAGCATGCCATTCACACACTTAAAAACAACTTCATTGGGCTGAAAGATGAAGTTCCCGACGAGGTTGGCGAGGCATTTTATAATGATGTTCAAAATTTTCTCCTCCACACCCACTGTTGGACACACAAAAAGCTTGTCATGAAAAACTTCCAGGCGTGGAAGGAGGCCCGGTCACACCATCCATCCACCTCCTGGGCTCTTCCAGCTACGCCGAAAGATTCTCCGGCTTCGAATTCGGATTGGGACAATGCGTATTCCGATGCTGAAAACACTGCCGCTGACTCTCCAGACTCAGAGCCGGACGGTATATTTGACATGGTAAGTCCTGCTAGCACCGCTGCAACGACACCGGGTCCCACGCCTCACTTTGAGGAAGCACGGCACGAACAAATAGCCGGCAAGTATGACGATGACGAATTGGAGCCAAGGTCGCGGCCCGATACGCCAACGCCAGCTACTGGTTTAAAGAAGGGAGGCAATTCCTCGTATCGTGGACTACGACAAGATGACAGAATAGATGACGAAAACGACGGGGCCTCCAAAGAACACAACGAGCTCGCTGGAATCCTCCGCGAGCACCACGACCTCGGCCCCGAACTTCTCGGTCGCATCGACCGGCGCTTCAAATCCGTCAAGAGCAAGAAGTGGCCGCTCATGGAAGCTATCGAGAAGCGTTTCACTTCTATGGACGGCAAAAAGGGCAAGGTATACGTGTGGACGAACAAGGATAATTCGCGGTTTGTCAAGATCGGATTCACGCAGCATGACAGTGATAAGCGGGCGGCGCAGCCCAATAACTGCTATGCGCGGAACACGGTTCGGCACTGGGAGAGCGAGGTACACTTTGTCGGGGCGTACCGCGTTGAGCAAATCGTGCGTAGGAGCCTGAGCGAGCGCAACATTTCTCTCATCAGCTGCGCACTCTGCAAGACGGCCCACAGGGAATGGTTCGAGATAGACGCCAAAGAGGCCGTGATGATGGTAATACAGTGGACTAAGTTTGTGATAGACGCGTACGCCGATGGGCGCCTGAACGAGCGGGGCCGGCGGTTGATGGATCGGCTGTGCAACATCGATACTGGTGCGCTGGAGAGGGCGCTTGAGGCCGAGGATGATGTCCAAGCAGCGACAGGCAATGCTATCCCAGGAGAATCACAATCAGAGAGCGAAGTCGAGGGCGAGCCTAAGGGGGCGCCCGCCATGGCTAATAAGCTCGTTGAAGTCCCCCAAGCGACAGAGGAAATCAGCACTACAACGCCTGCAAATCAAGTCTCTACCCCGGTCTCCTATCAATCCTCGGCCAACTCTCCTACTGCGCCCGATAAACCAGTCTCCGCCCGCGAGCCGGAACTAAGAACTGCTCGAGCCTGGACTCGCCGCCTACCGAGCTGGACCTGGACGGATGAAGCTGAGCAGCGGACGTGGAGGGGAATCTTGTCGGATGGAAAGACGCGCTCAGCTCCGGAGCCCAGCAAACGACTACAAGCAGACAAATCAGGCGACAGTGAAAGCAAAGCGAGAGTCAAAGACGACGAGGGCGAGGACCCACTCTTTGCAAGCCTGGTTGGACAGTTTTACTCGGCGGAGCTGGGCGAACGCCTGCGCCATGCGGGCGATAAGAGTGGCGCGAGATTGAAGGGGGGGACAATTCGAATACTCAAACTGCTGAAGAGTTCACGATTTCGATACAATTGAACCGAAGAGGCCCTAGTTCGCCCAGTACCATTGGTTTCTCTTCCTCAGGTCCTGAACCAAAGTAGACTAAAGATTATGTAACGTTGCATCGTGTCGCATTACGCGTGGAGCCCAAGCATCTTACAGCATCAATCAACCATCCTAATCATTGAGTTGAATCTAGTGCTTCGTGCCACGTACATATATCTCACTCGTATAGGGTTTCTGGTTCTAGCCGAGAGTATAAACTCCGTGTTCGATACACCTTCCCCAGACGTGCTATGCGGAATTGTAATGGCTATCTTTTCTCTAGGTGCTGTCTCCGACGTCAAAATACTCGCTCTTTATATCCCCTCTGGCGTCATTCCGGTTCTGGAATAGCTCGAAGCAAACACTAGCTCTCGAAAAGCGAGTGGCGGTCATAGCCGAAGCTTGGATAGTGTTCCTGTCCATCAGAGAAAGGTTGTCTAGATAGATGTGCAGATTCAGCCAGCCTAGAGAAACATGTTCCGGAGAGATAGGCGTCAGGTCGACTGTTACTAAATTAGATAGCTCTGCAGCGGATAAGGTAGTTTCACTCCTATGAATTGTTGCTCGTTTAGGTATCACTGGTGTGTCTGCATATCGAACTCCTGCTGCAGAGCCATGATCTGCTTGGGCTTCATCAAGGAGGCCGGCGCTCTCGTGTGGGTTGCGAGAGGCAGTGGAAACCGTTCCTATCCCAGTTTCAGTGCTAGATACGACTGTGATCAAAGAAGGTGTGGGAAGCTCTATTTTGTGTAAATGAATCGAGCTCTGTAATGGGAATTTCCACGAGGACGGAAGGAGTTCTGCATTCCTCATGTCTCTTCTGACAACCTGGTTAACAGCGCTGAGCGCTGCGCGAAATCGCTGTAATGTTGCATTTGTGTAGGTACTGAGGTCGGGAACAGTCCACTGGTGGAATATCTGGCGACGTGCCTTAGAAACGAAGAACGAGCCATGAGCCTTGATAAAAGAGTAGCACAAATAGCAGGCTTCCTTAGAAGAGCCTAGTGCACGAGGCCATACGGTAGCTGAAGATGTTTCGTAGTAGACAACCATTTGAATTTCTGCGTGGATATATCGTTTTTGGTTAGTCTCCTGGAGCGGCATGTATGGTTTCAGAATTTCCAATCGCAGCCTTCTGAATAGACTGCGGTATGAGCGGGTAAGATGAGCAAAAGTGAGACATACGCCAGTAATTTGCGATTTTGTTAACCTCGCGAGTCTCACGCGAATCAGTTCTGGACAACCCGATTTCGCTGAGCCGTCGTGGAAGTGATATGCCATCGATAGTTATTTTATAAACGTTTTTCACAACGGTTTTAATGGTATCTGTAGTTTCTACCGGTCCCGATTTCTCTAGCCGAAGAAAAGATTCGTGCAATGCGTCTACTTCAAGAGAGAGTTTTGTAAGATGCATCTTGCAGATTGGAATTGCGCCGGTGGGTAACCCTTTCAAGCGGACTGTCAGCGGACCTCGATGAGAGCCACGATCATAAGCTGGACGTTGAAAGTGGGCTGATTCGAGTCGACCGTATATTCGATTCATATTCAGGTTGACGATTATATCGAAAGACTGTTCAGCATACTGCTTGCGCGAGAGCTCTGGAACAAACGTCAGCATGGTCTATAGATAGTTATGAATATGGTACTACTACCTTTTGTCGCACACTTTTCTAGGACATGAAGTAATTCAATAAGAGCCGTTTTAACACGGTCACATAGACCGTACACCCTCGTTCGCAGCAAGGCGTAAAGTATATTCCCTTTCCTTTCCCCTCGCCTGCTCGATGGTGGCAACAGTAACGTAACCAACATCATATTCACAAGCAGAGATAAAGGCAAAATTATCCGAGAGCTACAGCTCTACCCCAAACGGGAGATCATCTTCTCCACATTGTTACGGCCAGTGTGTACTGGTAAGAGTGCGAGGCTCAGGTACGAGATTTGCGTGGAACAAAGCATCGATGCGGGCTTCAAAGGCCCTTCGGTTGGTAATGTCCCATATAGAGCGGCCGGGTCCTGTAGTATTAGGACATAGCATGCTGCTATAATTTGTCTCATGATGTTTCATCGGGCTAAGTAAGGAAGGCGTATTCAACGCAATACGACAGCGCCTTCAAAGAGATCAAAATACTTCCCCAACACTGCTTTTTAGAAAGCTTTTCAAGCCTTGAAAAGGGTGTTCAAATGATCGCGCACGGAGCTTCAATCATGGAGGTTGAGATAGGAAAGCTTCGGAAGGCAAATGAGACGCTATCAAAGCGTAAACAACGCAAAAAGAAGGTGATCAATGGCGCTAATACGCGCTCAATTAGCTATATTAGAAAACGTAGAACCTAGCCTACTTCCTAATTAATAAAAGACTTCAGTAGTTGTTGAGATATTCAGATTACAGTAGTGGGCCATGGTTGAGATGGGCGACTCGGTGGTTTGGGCGACTCGCTGGTGGGTTACGCTAGTTAACCAACTAGTTAACTATGGTAAGAATAGCAAGCAATGCTAAAACGAGACCATCCTCATAAGGCGGTCAACAGTTGTAGCCATGTGTAGTTGCTAACCATTCGTAAAGGTGTCAAAAGCACGGAAGACCGCGTATTGAAGTGCTAGTGACTGGTAGTACCTCATTGAAGATCAACCACCGGAGCAAATGGCGCAGGAGCTATTCTCTATTACCAATAGCCGTAGTATGGCCAGGGTTCTCCCATGCACTTTCCCCATATTATTGGTACGTGAGTGGCACAATGTCGCGAAATCAAGCCGGAAGAACTCCACTGTCTTCAGTCCCCCATGAGCCTCAGGGAACAGTCCGTCAAAGCGAAGGTGTGGAAAATCTTGCCCTTTGACGTCCACACCAGAAGATTCATTTTATGATTTAACAGGAATTCAAGGGCCTCTGGTTAGTTTCCATTGCACTAACAGTCTTTACCCCGTTTAGGTCCGCTGTAATGTAATATGCGGTAGTATGGTGATTCACATCTAAGGATATGTTGGCATCCCTAGCTGATAAGACTGAAATGTAGCGACTGGAGAGGTTAAAGATGTAGATTAACAAGCGTGGACTGCTCCTACTGACACAATTAAAGCGAATAGAACCTGTGATAAAACCACGTTGAGTCGGCTATCGGTCTTGAGTCGCCAAATGTCAGCATGACGAGATAGGAATAGTCGAATAAGTACACACATCTGGATTTTAACCCATTCAATTTCATGAATCCGCCATTGTAGTCGAATAAATGGACTATTACGTAGGGAAACTAGCGATATATGTAATATGAAGGACTTCGACCCATCGGCGCGGTGTTTGTAACGACGACCAGTGTGAAATCTCCAACCTCCGACGTATTTATCCCGTCCTCATTCAACGCCGTATGGCACCTTTGGAGGACATCACTACCAGGAACAATTCCTAATTGAGATGAAAGATGTTTGCAACATTCGTCTGTCGTATCTTCCTGGTAGAAGTGCAACAAGGTCCCTACCATGCCAAACGTAACGACTATTAAATGCGGGGGTACTGCAGAACTCGATAGTACAGTGCTTTGGCTCCGAAGTAACCCGCCGCAGTCATTGATATTAACAGCGGCGAGAATACAACAATGGCCCCGGTTCGGACGCCTTCTTCGAAAAATCCACGTGGGATCAGCCGCTTCGGTCGCTTCGGCTCGGGTAACTTCTCGACGGCCCCTTCTAAAATTCGAGATATTGCGACTTCATTGCTTTCTAGTACCGCTGCTTGGAACAGTATGGACTGTGCGCTAGATTTGACGAAGCGAGGAGTAGGTTTACTGAAGAAGGAGGGGCAGTATCGACTCTCGAGGGAGAATGGACGGTTGATGGGGGCAGCGGGACCAACTGTGAAAGGTTAAGATTTTAATTTGAAACGGGAGATCAACAACTCGCAGGAAGCGACCCCACGTACCCAAGAGCTCAAAAGGGATGTGGTTGACGAAACCAATGTCAGATCTGACATATTGGCATATATATTTTGCGGCTTGAGCTGACGCAAAAGCGAAACATGCTATTGGTGATTCACTCAACCTGCATTTGCAGCCCGTTGTCAGCGAGATCTCGGGCTGGCTTCTTCTCATTTCAGGTATGAGGAGAGGAAACTGAGAAATTGCTAACACATACCGATTCGAAAAGTCGATTGCGTCATCTAAGCTCGTGATTGAACAGACGCAGAGGCATTGTTCGCTCAGTTTCTGCGCAAGAGAAGAGTCCCTGATGAGTGTCATGAAAGTGCTACTGGTAGAAGACACCTGATGCACACGAACCTATTCTCCACTTCGACTATGGCCGCAGCCGAGCTCGGAAAGATGATTCGGACTCCATCTTTGTCTTGGCCACTGTGCAAATTTCCCGCTGGGTCTCCGTTGGAGAACTGATTGCGTTGCTTGCCTGACGCAAGGCTGTGCTCCGGCAGCATTCTGATTGAGTGTTTCATGGTCTCCAGCAAAAATTGTTTCTTCACAGTTTCGTGCACAAGAACAAGCCCTGGCGCGTACGGAGAGGCGCTCCCGTACGCAAAGCGAGCCATGACCAAAGCTTGGGCGGCTTGCGTGATGTCTGCCGTCCGATCTACAACTGCAACCACGAGCCCATTGGGTTGGGAGACGAGGTGAAAGACGGTCGATACCGCATCGATGCCATTCTGGAGGACTTGAGTACACTTGCTCAGCACGTCCGGATCGGCCACTTTGGTTCGGGCAATGGAGAAAATGTCAGAATCCAGTGCAGGAGGCAGCATCGTGCGAAGTAGTGTAGGCACCGCTCTCATTGTGTTTTCGAGCTATATGAATTTTTGTGAGGACTCATTGTCTCTGCGTGAATAAAAGGGCAGCTCACTAGTAGAATGACGCAGTTTCCTGCTGCTATTGCAGGAGCAAGTGCTGCTACCACAGAAAAAAACATAGTATGCGGCGTAGGTTCAATGTATACGAGGCCTGGGCAGTCGCTTCGATCTTGGTCGTCCAATCCCTTAGCTATTCGGTATTCCATCTCTAGTTCTTTGTCGAGGTCGAGTGACAGGTAGCATTTCTTTAACGCGTCCAATGCGAGGCGAAGTTCGACTGCTACTTCGGCCACTGAACCGTGTGAGTCTTGCAAAATTGCAGCCTGTATCTTGTCTGCATCTTTGGCAAATGCTTGATGGAGTTGGAAGAGCTGTTCTTTGCGCCAAATTGGGTTTCTTAGACGGCCGTCTACTGCTGCAGCGCAGACTCGGTCAATATCTGCAGCCATGGAGTCGACGAGGTGAGTATAACAACGGATCGAGAAGGTTGATACAACGGTCTACATTAACATAAACAAGAATGGATTCCTCCTCCTCCGCTCAAACAGTGAGGGATCCTTGGCTTTTCCGAGAGACTGCCACTAACCCTGACCCTTTTCGGGCCATTTTCCCCCCACATCGGGAGGACTGTTTTCGATGAGAAGTCTACGACGTGCAAAATTTGCTGGGGCTGCTTGATGGTGGAAGGTCGAACACAAATTCTTTCCATTTCCAGCGCCCATAGTGACCGAAAACCGATGAGGGCAATTGAGTTATACCCTGTCCCTACGACTGACAGCCATGAATCCACGTTACTAGGTCCGGGTAGGTACAGATTTCGTGTGGGTAAGTCAGGCAGGGCTCGGATTGTGGTGGCGACTATTTCCTTTTACCTTCCATCGATGCCCCTCGATTTTCGGTGCGTTTTTGGCCCTTTCACTCCGCTACGCGTAACACAAATTGTTGGTGGTCAAGTACTTTCGAGTTTCGAAGGGATGAAAGAGCTTTTGAAATGAACTTCGGTACTCCGTAGTTCCCTCTATACTATCATTCCCGCATCCCTCAGATTCATCTAGCTCCAGGTTGCACAGCCGTACCTTTCCAGATCCGACACCGATGCCGATTGTCTTCCCCAATACTGCTGAGCATAGTGGACGATACTCTGAGGGTGACCACAGTGGGTTCTGCAGATTATATGTTATCCATGCCTTACCTGAACTCAGCGCCGCGCGGTGATACTGAGCATGTTGAGGCTCTGTAATAGCTGTTCTAGTATTTGAAAGGGATGGTACACTAATAACGATAGCACCAATTTCAGTGTGAAGATAAGCCCAGGGAACCGGGATGGCTTGAATAGTCTCACGTCATGGCAAAAACTGATCGATGGCTTAACGTATATATGTTCAAACGTCCTTGAGATGTTTGTCATATAAAGGCTTGGGCTTTGTAGCCCATAGCCGTAGATCTCTATAAAAGCCTTTCAAGTTGCAAATTTTGCGTTAGAGCATGGTGCCTCCGATGGGTCGCTTGGTCTTGAGGGCGGACTTGAAGGTTGAGTTGTTACGGTGGCTGACGCACGCTTGTGTTGCTGCTGGGTTGGAAATAAGCCAGCCACAATTAAAAAGAGTCAGGCAATGCAGCACATCCAGGTATTGAGACTGCAGGACTGTTCGCAGGAGTGTCGGTCCAGAAATCAGCCGAGAGTGATTTCCATTTGCTTCAGCTCTTGTTGCTCCCAGACCGGTTTCCACACCCTCCCAATGCCCCTCCGATACGCTATCCCATCTTCCCACGCTAACCACATCACGTTGTAAAAGTGATATACATCTCCAGCGTCTCTAATCTGCGAAAAGTGTGCAACTTCTGGAACCACATCTTCAACCCGGGCAAGTTCCCATTTGTCGAGCAAACGCTCGCGTTTGATGTTGACGAAACCAGTACTGATAGCGACGACCTCACAAGCCAGTGGGTTGAGATCTTCCGCCAGAACTGGAGTCTGGATGTCGTGCATGAAGCCTGCCCAAACTTTTTTGGCTGTGTATATTGATCCTTGGGGGAATGGGACGCCTAGGACCTCCTCACGGAATGTAAAAATGCAAATTGTACTGCTGAATCTGAGGTGCATGGAGTGAAGATCTAGCGTTGGCCGCTCCGAGGTCAACTTGGCGATGGGAATCGGGTAGCGGAACTTTACACCGGGAGCAAGGGGGTGCTTGAACCGGGATGACCCATCCGCGGAGGATGGTAGCGAAGTTTCTTGGTCGATTTTCTCCCAACCTTCCTCTAGTTCTAAGTGAGTAGAGTCTTGGGCTGAAATACGATGCTGATAGAAGCTGTTCCGTACTGCTGAGAGACTACCGTGCTTATTCACTTTTTGCCACGATGTTACAGGTGAAATCGGAATGACTTCCATCGCCCAATCCACTGCATCGCTATAGAGCATTGGCCACTGAACGCGACAATCTTCCCACCCAGCCCAGGACCAGCTTGCGAAATGAGTAGAAGCCCACTTCTTGCCTGGCTTGGAGCATCGGCGGAAGGGCCGGCGCGCGCGACGACTGTGATCCGATTCGAATCTGCGCCATAAAAGTGCAACATCGAAGAAGAATTCCGGGAGGCCTTGGAAAAATCCATGGGGAAATGATGGTCGCAGTGCAGCAAGAATCCCGGCGAATGCATTAAGCATATCGTCCGAACGGGTCATTGAGCGTTCCGTGAAATAAGACGCCAGCTCAGAGTAATTGTCGAGATGGGGCCACTTGGCTATTCTCAAGAAGCTCGTATCCGAGGCGCTGCTTGACTGGCAGTAATAGCAAGCCTTGACGCTATCACTCGAAGCTGGGATGAACGTTTCTTCGTCGAAAGACGCTTGCATGCACGTCCAGCTGACGGTCTGATCTAGAAACATCAATGTGCGTCGTGACAGAGCACGCTCTTGCATCGTCCATGCACGTGTGTGCCATACTTTTTCCCTGATTTCCTCTGCATTAGGTTTCACTGCGAAGTTTGCGGCCAAAGAGAAGGTGTTAAAATGAAGCAGAGGTGGTATAAACGTGCGAGGGGAATGTCTACTTATACCTGGAATGCCGCTTCGAGCATCTGTTCCATCAGCTGCAACGATGGTGAAATATGCATCTCCGTAGATATTCGCCATGTTTGGAAGCTGAACGACTTTATCGGACGGGTCATCTTGGACTATGCAAAGCATGTCGGCCCAGAGATATCTCAGCCCGAGAGATTTTGTCAGCGACATTGCATCCCTAATTGTTCTCGCTAGAGTAAGCGAGAATGGAGCTGTATCAAGGCAACCAGGAATCTTCAGATCCTGATGGTTTGCTTTAGTACAGAGGAGTGTTTCAACCTTGCCCCATACGTAACTGAGCGCGGTATATTCAGGCACATATTGACCCACACGAATCGCAACAATGCACGACTCAACCACATCGATCATCAGCATGTTGACGTAACAGCGCTTTCGCTCGCTTGAGAATGTGTGACATTGTCCAGCGTGCTGGTAATCGCAGGTTTGCACCCAGCTTCGAATCATGCCGAAATCAATAAGCGAGGGATCAGGTTTCGATGAGTTGGCGAAAGACGAGGGAACGATACGCAGCTCGTACCTTTCGGTTGTGGTCTCGATCTATGTCATAGTCAGGGCATGTTTTGATTGGAAGGGTATCATGACTTACGTCAAGGATAAAACATCCCGTCGCGCACATAGGCCCATTCAACGAAAGTTTTGATGACTTCAGCGTCGAAACCGGATCCGAAACCTCGCGCAAGGCTCTGTGGACGATGCTATCTGTTAATGCTGTACATGTTAAGCATTGCGAGTTTTCCGCAAGATACAGTCCTGAGAACAAGTCGTATCCGTCGACCTCGTCTGCTCGTTCGTAAAGTATTTGGCCCGAGAAAAGCTCGAGAGGGACTAGATCGAATTGCTCGGGCTGTCGTGACTGGAGCGAAGATATTGCCGTTGCGAACTGCTCACAAAGTGGGCACTTGGCGGATGGCACACCAGCGGATGGGTCGTGTTGATCCATGGCTCCAGACTTCGCTGCGAGGATTTCCTGTACCCTGGCGCATACGAGGGAACTTTCGCACAGGTGTCGTTCGTTGAAACTTGAAAGTTACTTTTGGGGCCTCCAGGCTAATGTGTTCTCTCGTATGTGGAAAGAGGCATTACGAAACTTGGAATTGATTCTAAGAGCTAGAAGGCTGAGCTCGATGGCGCGAGGCCGAAGTTCGACATGAGGCCCCACCGTAAACCTGACCGGTTCGGCTTCAAGTGACGGTCGGCACGCAATCGCAGCCTAGGGCTCGTTCAAAGGACATCATCGGAGCTAAATATATCAACAGTATGAAGTAGCAATGACTGGATGGTAAAGATGAGCTGCAGCGTCGTGCGGGACGTGAGTGATGGCGGCGGGGGCGGGTACGTGTCGATGCCGAAGCGGATGGTTAGTTTCCTGAACACAACTAAGTTAATTAATTGGCACTCTGCTGTGTTCAACCACTCACCAGCCCACCCTAGTCATCGGCCCACACCAAAACTCTCCAAGCCCAAAATGTACATTTAAATATCCTCACAACGCGTAAGTTATACGCTTCCGAAATATACACCTAGACTTATGTATACATCGCATAGCTCCTAACTAACTCCGAAGGCGATTTAAAACGCAGTTCTTGAGGTGCTAGATTTAAGCTTCAATTTGGGGGGCAAAATTTGATATCTAAGGGAATACTCCGTACGGAGCTGTGTATGATTTTCGTTGAAATAAGCTCATCAACTACGCCTGCACTAGACAAGGGTATGGTGCTTGGCATTTGGACTGGGACAACACGGCAGCGAAACCTCTGTCACATTAAGGTTGATTAAGTTGAGGCCGGAACTCCGTTCATATCTCCCAAATTTTCCCCCAATCTTGCGTTCTGTATCTCAATGGGAAAACAGGGAAGCAGAATGAACACCATCCGCGCCCACTCTGTCGCATGCTGATTGTGCCATGCATGATTCGTCCCTCGCTGGATCGCACAGTCACCCTTTTCCATGACCTTGGATTCTCCACTGTCTAGAATGAGGCTGATCTGGCCCTCCAGGACGATTCCATAATCCAGACTGACCGTTCGATGCATAGGCGACACTGAGTTTGGAGGCATGTCCACGTATCGGAGTACCGAGCCGTTCGAGAGGTTCAGGCCCGGCGGGTTGGCCAGCTTGTCCGCATAGAATCCCAGGTCCGGGTCCCCGGTGAGTTGAATCGGAAATTTGTGGGTTGCGAATCCCAAACGAAATTCTGCCCTTCCATCCGGCAACGGCGTCGGATCTAGAGTTTCGGGTTGACTGCCGCTGAAAATGGCCTTGCCATCGCTGTTGTGCGTCGTAATGTAACGATGCACCGTGGCAAGATTGTTACGTAGTGAAGGATCTTGGCCCATGGCGTAGCGTTCTGTGAGAATGGACGAAACGGAAGGTCGCTGCAAAATATGGAGCAGATATAGCAAGTTGAGGAGAGTAGAAGCCCAGAAGCGTCTCCCTTTCGTCGAGCGGCTGGGCTAACTCCTAATTTGAGGCATTTGTGCATCCGAGGACGACCTTTCGCTCATTTCACATCAAAGCATAACTTACTCTAACGGCTCCACACTGTCTAGGCACGACCATATCAGAGCCGATTATCCTCTGATTGACTTGGTGCATGATCGGGGTGCTTTCCCCACATTCCCGAAGTCTCCCAAGTATTGACTCCGAAACCCCCGCACGTCCCCCAGATGCCCCAGATGCCCCAGATTCCCCAGTTGTGGGTCCAATCCGTCCTCCCATGTGGATATGTTCCATCCACGACCTCGATGGCTTTGTCACTTCTTCGGTATAACTTGCAAAACCCCCAAGGGACGATTACTGAATTCAACTTGGCCACAATGTCCGCCTTCAAGCGCGCGTTTGCCCTCCCTAAGGAGGAAATCGAGAAGTTGACACCGCCGGGAACTACTGTCCTTATCCGTAAGTCTCTGTCCCCGTTTCAAGATGGGTGTCTGATTGTCGTCTAGATCGCGAAGATCAGAATAGGGAGGGGGGCGGACACATCGTGTTGGTCCCTGATCCTTCAGACGATCCGGCCGATCCTTTGAACTGGAAGTGGTGGAGCAAGGTCGGCCTCCTAATCTGCGCATCTTTCTATGCGTTCGTTGGGAACTTCACATCCGCTTCCATTGCCAGTGCATTTCCTCTTCTAGCAACGCCGGCGGTGTTCAACCCGCCAGTGCCGATGAAACGGTTATCCTACCTCGTTGCCGTACGTACGCTGGACCGGACGGTCAAGACCACTTTGAAATTGTGCTGAGTGTATATAGGTGAATGTTTTGCTCTTGGGCGCCGCAAATCTTTGGAATGTGCCTTTGGCCAATACTTTTGGCAGGCGACCGGTAGTATTGTTCAGCCTCCTCCTTCTGACCCTCAGCTCGATGTGGGCTGGACTGGCGACTAGCTTCGGAAGCTTGCTTGCCGCTCGTGCATTTATGGGAGTTGGTGCTTCCGTTTCTGAGACTTTATCTCCTGCTGCAATCGGGGAGGTGTTTTTTGTCCACCAGCGGGGACGCGCTATGGTGAGTGAAAAATGGGTTCCATCCTAATTGGGAGTGGACCTGGGGGTGTACGATACTCTATGCCCGTGTCGGTCTGCTCTTCTGTGCGTCCAACCTAATGGACTTGCGGGCCTCTTCCAGTCGTTAATTTTGCATTTCTAGGCTGTCTACACCATGAGCATCGCGCTCGGTCCATTTTTGGGCGGCCTTAGTGGAAGCTACATTGCTTTCCGTTACGGAATATCGTGGCTCCACTGGGCCAACGTGATCCTGTCAGCAATTTGTCTTGCTCTCTGTTTTTTCCTGCTACCCGAGACGCTGTATGTGCGAAAGCAGCGTCTAAGCACAGTCCGGACGGGGGACGAGCGAGAAAAATCCGATGCCCGCTTCGAAAAAACAATCGAAGAATCAATATCACCTCCGAGCTACAAGACCTTCACGTTCGCCCAGTCCCTCAAAGTCGGGCGATATGAGGGCGGGTTACTATCGAAGCTCGGAGGGCCTTGGCTCAGTCTCCGGTTGCCTGGAGTATGGCTGGTCATGTTTTGGTGAGTTATAACAATTTAAACGAAACCGTATTTGCCATCCCCTAACCCCGGAGCTCCACAGGTATGCCGGTCTTGTTGGCGGGATCGTCACCGTGACCACTATTAGCCCCCAGGTCATGGCTTCACCGCCATACCTCTGGCATGACCACATCGGCCTAGCCAACGTGGGCGGCATCGTCGGCACTTTCGTCGGCGCTGCATACACTTACTTCGTAGCCGATCGCGTCCTGACCGGCCAGGTGAAGCATGAAGCCCATGGCTTCGCGGAGTCGGAATCACGGCTGAAAACAACCTTGCCGGGCCTTTTTGTTGCGACCACCGGTCTTTGGGTGTTCGGATTTTGTGCGGACCATCCTGGGGGTGCGAAGTGGGTGGGGATGCAATTCGGGTTAGGGATGCTTGCATTCGGTCTAATACAGGTGAGTTCACATGGTTCCTCGAGATATAACCGTTGAACACTTTCCGACCGAGTCTACCATAGACGCCATCAGTTGGATTTAACTATGCAAGTACCCTCCTGAATTTGGTTGACGAAGCTCAGTCTAACCCATGGTTAGATTATTGATTCATATGGCAAAGCGGCCAGTGACTGTTTTGTAGCAGTAGTAGGCATGCGCGCAATTATTGCTTTTAGCTGGACATTTTTTATTGGCGAGTGGTAAGGGTAGAGGTCAAACAGATCTTTTGTTGCTTAGATTTCTAACACCAAATAGGGTTGCAAAGGCAGGAACGTCAGTGCCGTTCGGTGTTTTTGGTGGGCTTATGGGGATTTTCTCCTTATTGGTCTTTGTCATTCTGATTTGGGGGAAGAGGTTCCGAGTCGCGACTGCACAGTGGGTCCAGTAGGGGAACCCGACCGACTGATGTGCTTAAATAAGGGCTTTGTGACGCAATCTAGCTTTTCACGGCTCTTTGTCCCAGTCAAGAGGGCATCTTGTATAAGATAATTCAATGATATGCCCCATAGGGCGAATCTACAGCAGTCAGCCATTGTACAAGCCATACCCAGGTGGGCCTCCCCCGTGTGAGAGAGCATGATCTGTAGAAGGCATAAAGTCTGCTATCAGGCCAAATCAATACTCCTCTCATTACCAGTCTCCACTTGCTGCGGTCAAGGGCGGAGAATGATCTAGCTCCTTGACGTCTGTTTCTGACCTGACAAATCCCATACAAAATTTAGTCCAAAAACGAAAACAAAACTTCCCCTGGACCAATATGGATTTAGCGGCCTGCTATGCTTACCCTCATTGCGTATCCAATTGTAGTGTGCCGCGAATCCGGCTCGGATGAAAATCCTGATCTATCTCAGTTCGGCCCCTATTACCCCTATTACCAATACAGTGGTCACCGGGGCGAAGGCTCGGGAAGTGGGGCAGAATCGACGGCTTGGGTTGAGAGTGTAATGGCCTATCTGTTATACCGTGATGTGCAGACCTTCTAGAGTGACGCTATACCTCCAAGCCGCAACCATATTAGATGAGATACCTCATTTTCTCTCCTGCATTCGACTCTCTGTCTTCTAAGCGGTTGGCCCCAAAGTAAAGGGAACACTCGAACTCAAGATGGGTAAGCAGCGGACGACCCCCTCTCCGCAGAGCGCGTTGTTAACCTCACGAAAGCCCCTACCCCGGTGCACTTTTTCTCCCATGGGTCTACTATGATGCTTGGGGAAGAATCGGAGTCGGCGGACTATTGGAAGCGCTGTGGCGATGAAGCACTAAGAAGAGGCGTCAAAGGAGTCATCATGATGGTATGTTCTAGCTTTTCCGAGTGTGTACCAACAGAACATAGCCTCTGATACCAATGATTATTGTTAACTTTCGTATGGTGTTCTTCTTGATTACTAGTAGACGGAGAGGCTGATTCAGAGCAGGGGGCACACTGGGATGCAGAAGGAGATCGGATCGAAGTAGCCACCAATCCGGATCCAAAGAAGTCACCTGTAGCGTAGGTGCTTGATTCTATTTCTCGCTTGAGGCTAATGAATCTCATATTGGCTGTCTTGGTAACACAAAATCAGATATGTGCATCCAGACAAATACCGGAACTACAAACTCAATCCAGACCTCACCACTGCTGAGCGGTGCATCAAGATGCTCCGCACCCAAGGCTTCAACGTGGATGGCAACCCGTCCTTTGACTGGATCCACGATACATACCTCATTTTAATCCGCATGTTCCCTCACGGATGCCCACCTACTGTATTAATCTCCATGAACGCCCGCTTCGACCCACACTTCCACATGAAAGTCGGCGCCACGCTGCGGCCGCTTCGTCACGACGGCTACCTCCTAATCGGCAGCGGTGGCGCCGTGCATAACCTTTACCGTAACCGCTGGGCTCCAATGCTGCGGTACTTGGACAATTTCGCCATGGAGACGCCGCCGGAGGGCTGGGCGTTGGAGTTTCGCCAGTCTGTGGAGGATGCGTTGACGCAGAATAGTGGGCCACGGCTGCGGCGAGCCATGACGCGGTTGATGAAGCACCCACAGTTCCGGGACGCACACGCAACGGACGATCACTTCATGGCGGGCCTGTTTGTCGCAGGTGCGGCAGGTGACCCGGAAGATGAGGGGACATTTGCGACGTTGGAGGCAGAGACATGGGAGCTGACAAACATGTGAGTGAACTCGCCCTCTGTACTGACAATTTGGAACATCGGCTTATAAGAGTAGGTGTAATTCGCAATTCACCATAGGTACTTGGGCATGACGTACGTTGAATGACATTTATTTCTACCGTGTTGAACAAAGTGGATGCAGGGATACGATTTGGTATAACATTGGAAGGAGGAAAACGGCCCTCAAGTATAATATAGATACTGAAATCTGCTGAGTCTGCGGCTGTTCCATGCCGCTTAGTCCGTGCAACTTTCCCTAGGAGGAATTATTGGTAGCGTCAGGCAGTTCAACAGATTGGGGCTGAAGCAAATGTGGTTGACGCCGGCAAACTTTTCCTCGTTCCTGAAAATGACTGCGGTTAGCTTAGCCGAGAGAAAAGGGGGTTCTACATACCTGTCAGAAGGGTCATTGTGAAGAAAGATTCCGCTCCCTTGCGTATCTCCAGACGAGACCTCAAGTACAATCTTGGCCCCTTTTTCAACGACGACATTCGTGGGCCAAATCTCCACGTCAACGGTATAGATCTCTCCAGGAATCACAGGCTGAACTTCCTGAGAGATGTATTCCCGCCACGGCAAATAAGGCCGATGTTTCCCATGATCCGGACTGGTCTTGCGAAAACTGACACGCAGCCATCCCTTAGTGAGCGGAACGGGGTCGCCTGCGGTACCGGTATAGTACACCTCCTTCCCTTCTGGCGAGATATGGCGGAGAGTTAAGAAGAGGTCGATGTCCCTAGGGGTAGCTTTGGAGACTTCGGCACTCATGGAAACGTTCAGTGTGGCGGTGACATAGCCTGTGATCTCGATCTCTTCTTCGAACGCGGGGGTGGAAAATTGTACACATTGTGGGTCCTCAATGCTCCCTAAGGCTTTGTATGAGATCTTCTTTGGCAATGTAATGACTGGAGGGTTCCTCGTGAGAGTTTGATCCAGGCCCAGGAAAAATTTCACATATTGGGTTCGCGCAATGGGCCATTCGTTTTCGGTTCGTCGAGTGAATTGCTTCTCAGCAGCGGCATTGTTGAATCCCATATCGCCCCGGCGAATGACGAGATCGACAGGTGGGAGTTTCCCTTTTATCGACCAGCCAGTTGGGTCTTGTCCTTTGAGAAATGCGTCCAGAAAACTTAGCTGGATCTTGGCTTCTTCTTCATAGTAAAACGGCAAATCATGCCGACCCGTAATCATTCGGAGATATTTGAACTCCGAGCCCCCATAGACGTATCCTTCCAGGTTCCCTCTCAGATGAAGAAGGATTCCACCCCAATTTCCAACTGATAGCATAGGAACCTCAATGTCACCAAGGTCATACTCCTTCGACGCGTAGTAGAGTTCTTCTCGAAATGAGTGAGTGGCGTTGTCATGGCACTGATCCTTTCGATTCTTCTCCAGCTCCTCCGGCGTCAAGTTGCCCTCGATCGTATCTGGGCCCCAGTTGTTTGCTGCTCGGCCCGGCCTGCCGTATTGATTAGTGACCACCTGCCGGTTCCACCAGAACTTGATGAAAGCATTCGCCAGGATCCCTCCATGTCGACAACGGTCCCGGTAGTAATCGGACATACCTTCCCACGGGATGATCGCCGCCAGGCCGCGAGGTTTCCGCGCTGCGACCCTCCATTGGCTGCCTGCATAATATGAGATTCCCAACAGGCCAACTTTGCCTGTACTCCATGGCTGCTGGGCGGTCCATTCGATCACTTCGACAAAGGCCTCGCTCGTGCCTCGGGACATGGTATCCAAGAGTCCTGGCGACTGCCCGGTTCCACGTTCGTCAGCCCGCACGACAACATAGCCGTGCGCAGTCCAGAACGCAGGATCCGGTGTCTCCCAGGCGGAGTGCTCAGACTTGTGTTGCGGATTGACCTCCGAGAATGATGCGGGATGAAAGTCTCTGTAGTGAATGTCTTTCCCGTACGGACCATATGTAACAATAGCGGGAAACCGGTCGACTCCACCAGGGGAAGGTTTGGGCCGGTAGACATTGCAGCGGATGAATCCTTCGCCGGACTGTAGTTTGATTGTTGCATGCTGTTCGAAGATGTAGGGGAATGATAATTCGTCTACCTTGTGGATGTTCTGAATTAGGAGTGGCATATTGTTAATCCAAGCTCTTGGTTGCACTCTTGCCTCTTAACTCAAGGATTCTCACTTCTCTTGAGTAAAATCTTAAACAAGTTACTTTACTTAGATCCGTCTCGCGCTCTAGAAAAGTAGCCTCCACTAGCCGAGCGTCAGTGCTATGCCGAATATTCTATCATTTGCTTGTGGGCATGATCGGGAGTTGGCCAGCAAGCCGGTGGGGAGAAGACAGAACATCGCGGAAAGCTCGCCCACATTCCGCCACACGCCCACTTCAGCACATGCAAGAAATTCCCGATAGCACCACAAGCTAAGTGTCGCGAACTCAATCGAAATGCTTCCGAGTATGAGAACGGCACGTTTTATGTACGGACCACTGGCCATTCTCGCAAAGGCACTTTGGTCCGCTAATCCCTCACTGGCAGCCAAGTTTCCGCGAACGCCTTGGCAAATCATCATACAGTCTATTATCCAACCCAGCCACTCCTAAATCCCAATGACGGCCGCTCCGGATCCTGCACCGTTGAAAGTGCTCATTGTGGGAGGAGGAATTGGCGGCCTCACTGCTGCAACAGCTCTCAGGCAAGAGGGACATGAAGTCACGGTATTTCTGGGCAACAGAAGCATGAATGGACCAAATCCTAATTCGAAGTAGGTATTTGAAAGATCCAAATTGGACAATGAGGCCGGCGCCGCTATTCATTTGGGGTCCAACTGTAATGGTCTTCTCCGCCGCCTTGGGCTTTTTGCAGAGGACATTGGAGGAAATCCTACGCTCGGGGTAAGAGACATTCGATCTCTCTTACACCTTCATTCCCGGTGTCGTCTGATGACGGTTTGCTCTCTAGATTGTACAGTACACTGCAGCAGGCAACTTGACATTCAACCTTGATCTTCGAAAGCCAAATTTGCTCTGGAAACACGTAGGTCTTCCTATCCTCTATGCCCGCTTAGGACTAATGTTGAAAGTCATGGCTTCTGGTCCATCGTGCTCATCTCCACAAAGCGCTGTATAGATTCGCCGCCGATCCTGCCGGAAAGGGAAATCCGGCTGAAATGAAGATATCGAGTTGTGTGGCAAGCGTCAATGCCGAGGTTTCCACCATCACCCTCGAGAACGGTGATGTATTCAAAGGAGATGTGGTCATTGGAGCGGATGGCGTTCATGTATGGCCTCAAGGACAAAAGCGTGGCTCAGTTCACTCACTTTCTGACAGTCCATAACCAGAAAGCAGGTATCCAAGACAGCAAAACCTTTTGGTTCCGGAAGAAGTGCGTTCAGGTTCCTGATCCCGAAAGAGGAGATACTGGCCGATCCCGAAACAAGAGACGCGGTTGATGGCGACGGTCGTATGGTGATGTGGATGGGAAACGATAGAAGGCTCGTCATGTACCCTTGCTCCAACAACACGCTTCTCAATTTTGTCGCAATCCACCCAAGCAAGGAATCTGACATGCCTGGTGACGGTGAGTTTCATTTGGTATTCCCAATCTCGGCTCCAATCCGAATTTCGACCGATATGTGTCATATGTTTCGTCTTCTTCGTTTACTTGACTGTTCAAGGCTGAGTGGCATTAGGTTGGAGTACAGGTGGCAATAAAGCAAGACTCCTTGAAGCGTATAAAGAGTTTTGTCCCATCGTGCGTGCTCTACTGTCGAAGGTCAACGCCGAAACTCTGAGCGTTTGGACGCTCCTTGACATGGACGTTTTACGTTCTTGGACGGTGGGCAAACTGGCTCTGATGGGGGATGCAGCGCATCCTTTCCTGCCGCGTAAGTCCGCGCTGGACACACAATTGAACACTGCTCACACTGTCCTCGTAGACCAGGGTCAAGGTGGAGGAATGGCAATCGAAGATGCTGTATCGCTAGGTGTCCTGTTGGGCAAAGGAACACGTAAAGAGGAAGTCAAAGAAAGATTACGCCTATACGAGGTATGTAGGATGGAGCGCGCTCATCGCATTCAAGAATATACGAGACTGTCTGGTCGTGATCTCGAGGAAGCTAAGAAAGACGGAAAAGAACTCAACAGTAAGTTGAACCTAGCCAAATTCATCTTCGGTACGCGAAGCGCTGACAGATTGTAGTGATGGAATATCAGAGCTATTGTTTCGGCCACGATGAATACGACCACACGATTCAGATGCTCAGGAAATCAAACTGGACCAAAACGCCAGATAGGTTCTGGAGAATGCCCGTTGCCTTTGGTTCGATGCCCGGCCCTAGGCAAGACAGTTTCGGGCTTCCGCATGACGGCTTGCAGTCTACCTTTGTGACTGCCTCGATCAAATTCAGAACATCTAGAACCTTGCTCCAGAACTTCTTCCCCTCCCCAGCCTTCAGCTTCAGCTCTCCTGGAACAGTTGCCACTGCTTCGATCCGAATGACCACTTTGGGGAATATGAGTTGGCTCGGTGGGGGTGGGTACAACTTCTCAGGTCTATTTGTTCATGGCGTCCAGTATACCAAGAGAGATGCCTCAGTACTTCGGGGCTCTTATTGTGTTGTCGTCTTTGAAGACCTTGCTGATGCGATCCTGTCCGGCCGAGAGGAGTTGGGGATGTCAAAGCTTGGTGCTTCCATTCAAGTGCATCAAAAAGAAGGCGAATACGCGGCCGGCATCGACTGGCGAGGAGTGCAGTTTGCGAGGATGCGCTTGGAAGGGCTCCATCTGCCTAACTCGACTTCATCAATGTCGGCCGCCGACAAGGCACCGGCGATGAACGATAAGCTTGGAGAGGCCGAGGAGGGAACTTTCTGCTACCGATATATTCCTGCAGTCGGCCGACCGGGAACGGCGGATGCAGAGTATGCCGTATTTATTCCGTCAGAAGGTGCATCACAGACCCCCAATGTCATACGGACGATGTTAGCCAGAAAGGGGGACTTGGCTTTTGAGGCAAGGGATCGCCAGGCACTGCCGACGTTGCATCATATTACAGCGAGGTTGGCAGAGATACCTGTGTATGAGGTTGTCGAGGCTCGAATTGATGAAGGAACGGGGGTTGAGGACCTTTCACAAGCTTTTAGGATTGAGTGATAATTAAGATTGCGTGAGAAGAATGAACAAGGTAGCATCAAGTGATTAGGAAAATTCAAACAGTACCGTCTGGGTCAAATCAACTGGGGGGGATCGGCATGTCATAACGGAGTTCGCTGAATCAAGTCATTAGGTTTTAAAGGTCATACTCATCCATCAGAAACAGCCAGTATTGGTAGGTCGGCACTGTAGAAGTATGAATAACGTATTCCACAAGCGAGCCGCCACTACAAGCGAGCCGCCACCTCAACCAGAAAACGCGACACTCGGTCTACAAACAACAATGTCTCAATCAATTGATGCTC